TCGGGGATCTGAACATCCCTTTTTGTTCGGAGGTCTTTTAATGTCAATATTAACTTAATCATTGAACTTTTACTGACTTACAAACCGTCAAAAACTTAAGAAAAGTACACAAAAAGCACTCCCAGAAACCTAATTCCCCTGAATTGGACGAGTCTAAATATGTTCACCTTAAATGATAGTTAAACAGTACTCAGACTGATATATACAATTAACAGTTACCAAATTGCAACGGAAACGGACCGATTAAATGGCAGTACATCATTCAATTATTCATTTATTATATTTTGTTTAGCATTAAAATAACACCAAATGATAGTTTTACAAAATTAGGGCGTAAATTTATATTTTTGAACCCAACTTTTCAAAATAACGATTTCTTATTTAATAAAATGAGGCATTCAAAACCCTATACATACCTCATTTATAACTGACCAATGAATATTCTGCACAACAACTTCTTGTTATATATATATATATTTGATGTTTTAATCTGTCAGTAATCATGAAACAGACCAGACCTAACAGTAAGTAAATTCTTCCATCAATTAGCTTTTTAAACAGCTTGTTTCAGAACTTTTAATCGAACAGACCTAGATGCATAAGGTCCTTCACAATATTCATCCGGTAAATGTTCATTCCTTTTTGATTCTGTAATTTTCCTACACTACGTTACAAGCGAATGCAAAATAATTAGTGTTGTCTGTTCAGTCCAATTAATTAATAGATCTTGCTTTGTTTTTTTTTAAATAAAAACTATGCATGCAAACTTCAATGAATAATTATAAAATCGTATTAAAAAGCATAAATGTGACATCTATAGCATCAACTAGGTTTCACTGACCCGATCAAAACGTGTTTAGGTGACAAATATTCGTAGTTTCGATGTATTATATGAAAACAAACTCTTTTATTTTAGTCGTCCGTTATTTCCATTTTATGTCCAACTGAAGCAAAACACCAGAAATTTTTTTTTACCTTTCTTAGTTTTATCCTTGCCTGACAAAACATCATGTTATAAATCGTATTAAAACAGTAGACAAGAACCATAGTAAAAAATATTTAAAACTTTTTTATAAGCAGTCAGTTATGTAATAATTTGAAGGAAAAAAAAACACAAAAAAAAACATAAAAATTTAAATGGAAATAGTACATTATAGCAATTTACAAGATCTTGTCTTTGAGTGCTAAGTACATGGAACAATTTATGAAGTTGATTGATTGTTGTTTGCTTTACGTCCAGTGGCAATTATTTCATGCATGTTCATGACTATAACACATAAAGTCTTTTTAAAAATACAATACTCAATATGAGGTCGACAGTGAGGTTGGACGTGAAACTTTAAAATACCACTGGAAAATGAGGGTATATTGAATTAGGACAGAAATTTAGACTTGCAACAGCTGGCCACATTCGGACCACTCAAATAATTTGTGCAAGAGTTTTTAATTTGCTGAGAGCGTTGATCCATGAAATCTACACTAAAGTCGATCATCGATGTTTACGTGTAGTCTACAAGTCAATATCATTTCACGCATTTAATTTAGGTTAGATACTTTTAGCTCGCTTTAGTAACTGTGAGAAGTCTGTGAAACTGTATTGTTTATTGTACTTGAGGTTTTGGTATATTATGTACTACCGCTCTACTAGTTGGTCTCATGTGAAGGTGTTCCCCTCGAGAGCGGGAGGTCGTTTGTTCGAATCCCGACTGGGCCAAACAAAGACGTTAAATTAGTATTGGCTATTTCAAAGCTTAACACGTGACATCATAGAGTAGGAGCACAGACTAGTCGGCTCAGAGTCGGAAATGTGTCCGGATCGGGTGACTTTTCTTCCTGCGAACTAATATCTTGGGAACTTACGTGTAAAAACACCGACTCAGCTTGTCAGTCTAGTAAAAAGCGGGGTTAATACTAATTGTATTTACATGTTATCGTCCTGAATATTCTTTTTATTTGCCGCTGGTCTTCATCCATTATCATCATTTATTTTACCGTTTTATTATACAGTGAAGTGTTTTTCTTCTACTGGTTTACTAACTTTTGCTAGGACAATTGTAGATGAAAAAAAAAAAAAACATAACGAAACCGACTAGCAAAACAATATCTAAAAAATAAATAAATGAAACGCCCAAAATAAGTTGAATCCTTTAATAAATTGTTGTCAACATTTTTTTATCCATTTTTGCTTTTATGGCAACTATTATACCAGTCTGAGATATAAATAAACTTGAAACAGCAAATGTTGACACGAAGACGAGACAGCCGTCATTGTTCGCTTCAATATATGAGTTATTGGCACTCAATGAAGATCGTATTTCTGTTCTTATCCCCTCTCCTATTAGTTTTGCTAAAGGATACAATGTAACCCCTGATGTGTACCACGACAACGTTTTTGTAATGTTTAAATAAAAGATTAAATGCAAAGAAAAAAACGATGGAAGAAAGATTTACTCTTAAAAATTCATACTTAAATAAAATTGAAATATAAAAATTGGAAAACTGTTTGAGACGACTATTTATTGATTTATTGATTGTTGGTTGCTTAACGTCCAGTGGCAAATATTTCATGAATGTCCAGGACGAAAACAAGTTAACAATAAATACAATAGGTAGGTTTTGTAATAATAGAGGCCATCTGGGATGATGGTCGGGGAAATTTGGACGGCCACTGGACAATGAGGATATATTGGATAGGGACAGAAATTTTGCCTTGCAACAGGCCACCTACGGACCCCTCAAAGAGTTGTTGCAAGGGTTCTTAACGTGCAAAGAGCGTGGCACTTTCTGTACACGATGCATCGGATTTAACGTCCCCAATCTGACCGGACGTGGCTGCAAACTTGATACATCCCGCACAGCCAAACGGACGCCCCACTTTGGCAAGCGTTTTACTGCCGGTCGGAAAAAGACCAAGTGACCATATTTCTATTCCCCAGTCACCCTTGGGTGACGATTATTTACTGAAACCAAATGATTATACGTCACTAAATGAAGCTGATTAATTAATTGCTCCTTTTATGTCCAGTGGCAAATATGTCATGCATATTTACGACGAGATGCAAAGTGGATCAACCTGAGGCAAATGATTACAATTTTAAAGTGGCACTTTTTACAATAAGGCAGAGCGTTCGCTAGAAGTAAAACGTATGCCGTAATAGAATACAGTTGAATCGTGATCGAAGTCGTAAGCTAAGCTATTAGCCCTCCTTCCCTCTTTTTTCTCCACGGTAGACGAATGCCAAAAAACAAAACGTCATGAATTTACAAACAATAACGGCCACTATAAGTAAATGAGATATGGACTTTTTTATTTAAATAAATTCCTATTGCAGCCAACATCTCTCGGTTCGGAACAGGTTAGTATTTCCACCGATTGATTATTGAATTGAGATATTAAAGCAACCAAAAGCACTTTGAAATAAAATTTTCTAAAATTGTAAATTATGGTATTTTGCTGGGTGTTATTTCCCGATCCTATTTCGGACCCCCTGATTTTAAGAGGGCGAATCTAATTAGTCATGCCCGATTAACTTTTAGTAAATTGAACCTCAACTTAAAGACCTACACCGGGTATTTAAGTTCGAGGTACAATAAGTTGACAATAGAAATCCTTTGTGAAATGAGATCGTCTCAGGTATCTTAGATAATTATTTTGTGTTGAATAACAATGAAAAATGCACGAGCAGGTTTGTAAGTACAATTATTAATATTAAGTAAATCCAGGAAAGCGCTTTACTGACGCCGAAAACTTATAAAGTGAAATTTTACTTATCCAGTAATCACACGCTTCAACTAAATGAATTATAAGTATATCCATTGGTAAAAGAAATCTAATCTTCTGATGATTAAGTCTGATCACGCATTGATATTTCACGATTAAATTTGATTTGAATTTAACAAAATCCTGCTTGTAAAAAAAGAATCTGAACCTTATTCAGGAAAAACACTTTACATTTCGCTGAACTATCTGACACATTTAGATTAAGTTTCAAATATATATCGTGATAAAAATTACATTGGAATGTGACAATTCAAAACGTGTTTTTCAAAAATGATTAGCATAGGATTAAGTGTCGCCTTTTGAGTTTTCTAAACAAATTAGTGCATTTTTTCTGTACTTTAGCGCATAATAGTGTTGGGCAATATTAATCATTTTGACAGACATATTGTCCACTATCAATAATCCAACTAATTTTTCATGTTGTTTGCGATCTGATCGAAATACATGACCACTGTTCATTATTCTTTTGCGATAATTTTTCTCGATAAACCGCCTGCTTTACACAAATATAGTGTTGTTGGCATATTTTATTTTGCGAACAAAAAATCCACATAAATAAAGTCATTTATATCTTTTTTATATCATGCCGAAATTGGGTCGTGTTTTATTTCTTGTATCCAATATGATAAGGTACGGATGTTTACTCTGAAACTATCTACATCTTCAAGGTCTATCAAAGTATCCATGACCCTATCTACATCTTCCAAGTCTATCAAAGTATCCACGACTGAAACTATATTTTCCAGGTCTATCAAAGTTTTCACGTCTGAAACTATCTACTTCTTTAATGTCTATCAATTTATTCACGAATGTTACTATCTGCATCTTAAAAAAAAATCCAGGTCTATCAAAGTATCCACGACTGAAACTATCTACATGCTTTAAGTCTATCAAAATATCCTGTTCAGAAACTATCTGCATCTTTAATGTCTATCAAAGTATCCACGAGTAAAACTATACACATCGTCCAGGTCTATCAAAGTATACACGACTAAAACTATACACATCGTCCAGGTTTATCAAAGTGTCCATAGCGCCTAGGTCTTTCAAAGTATCAAAGTATCCACGACTGAAATAATCTATATCTTCCAGGTCTTTCAAATTATCTACATCTTTCAGACCGATCAAACTATCTGCATCCTCCATAGTTTTTACTCTGAAACTATTTTTCACGTTTAGCAGACCTGAACTATGATATCCTTATTTTGTTTTTTTTCAGTAATGGCTCTAAAGATTGTTTTGTTTACCCTTGCTGTAATTTTCGCTTACTTGAATCTTGTAAGTTCAGAAGGAACATGTACGACGACATTTGAGGGAAAAGAAGTGGAGATTACACAAGGTGATACAGTATGGCTGAACCCCTGCCTTTTTTGTTGGTGCTATGAAAACTCTCAGGAAGCAGGATGTAATACTGTAGACTGTCCGACATGGAGTTGTGACGACGGCCTCGAACTGACATACCTGGACGGAAAATGTTGTCCATCTTGTCTACCAACTGATCAATGATAATATTTAAAATTGTTTATGTTATAATTGATGAGACATCATGAATGCATGAGTTTGCATTAAAATATTTAACATTGTTTCACTTTCAATAAAATACTATCATGAATGAATGTAAGTTCAAGATTTCAGTAGAACAACTTATTAAGACAAAGATAAAAATTTGAAAAAACGGAATCCCAATTTCATAGAAAAAAGGTATATTACGAACTTAAAGAGCAAATGGCAGTTCACATGTACACACCCATGCCCTAAAACAGTAAATAAATAATGAGCACATTTTTCAACATGACAATAATCAGAACATCGAATTAAATAGTAGGGGTAGTGTTACCTTTCGCTCAGATGTCCGTGAGATAAAGAGTAACACTACTTCAATGGAATCGCAGAGAGATATCTTAAACGGTTGTAAGATCTTCCCTGGGCGAGAGATGACTTAAGATCAAGTCTTTGTTTACAGACGATATCAAAGGTGGAAATTACCATGCCTTTATTTTGTCTATCCATTAGGCCTTTATATTTAACATAAAGGCACAAATCTTTTCACAATCATGGTGTTATAATTAACGACTGACTGACTCTTAACTAAGAAAACTGAAAAATCAAAAGTAAAAATATCAAGATATAATCTTTGAAACAAATACACAGTGTTTGACGGTTGAGTAGATACAAAGTTGGTAAAATAGTGGTAAGGACAATTGATTTTGATTCCTAGTCACATAGATGCGAGATATGGCAATACTGAAGGTTATTAGATCATAATTTTGTTGAAAATAAAGGAAAGAGGAAAATACATGTTCTCATATATTTTCTTTATTTGGATATTCGACATATTTGGACATGATTTATAACACATCTTGTTTAAATTTTCTGTTATGCTATCCCATTACTTGACTTCCGTCGTAGAGAGAACCTGTCAAAAACAAACAAATATGAACAGCAAAATACAATCTACAAAGAAGAAAACATGATGAATTCACCAGATGACTTCTGAAATGAGTTGTTGCCCTTGAATGATGAGTTTTACCCATATACGTATTGTTGCTTGAAACTAGAAAATGTTGTAATTGTATTATATCAATTTTATACAAAGATGCCAAGCTCGCGATTCAGGTTCATTTGAGCCTCTAGTTTACTTTATACTTTATATTGTTTATAGGAGACATAAACTAAGGCGACAGTAGTTTACCCGGAGCAAAGTTCAAATCTCGTAAATAGATTAGGAGGAGAAAACTTAAGGTAACAAACAAACAATGTGGTTATCGCATAAACCACTAAAGGAACGAGAACGGGTGCGTCGACAGAGTAAACGTCTTAGACTATGCATTTACATTTGTAGTTCATTCTTCAAAAAGAGGGACGAAAGATACCAGAGGGACAGTCAAACTCATAGATCGAAAACAAACTGACAACGCCATGGCCAAAAATAAAAAGACAAACAGACAAATAATAGTACAGATGACACAACAGAGAAAATCAAATTGCATTTGTCAGTAATTGTTTACGTCAAATGGAGTACAATATTTATCGTTAACGTTGATTTAAGCAAATTTGAACTTTAATCCTTTAAGGGTAACCCTATTCCACCCTCCGTCAGGATTATTTATGGCCAATGTGCACGAGTGGAAAATGTTGGACATGATTACATAAATTTGTATGTCCCGTACTGGGTATTGTTTGTTTCAGGTACTTTCAAACTATACATATTGTAACATTTTACTGCATTTTTACTATCAACTGGTTTTTAACAATCGTAATGGTATTCCCTTCTCTTTTGTAAAAAAAATAATTTGTATCGCATCTCGGTGCGAAACTATTAGATTTTGGTCGATAAACCCACCATCTTGTTTAAATGTTTCATAAAATCGGTAAAACGTCAGGAAGGGGAAAAGAAATTGCATACGGATGATCAGAATCCAATGACAGTATGTGTATTCAAGACCCGAGCGATGAATATTTTGCTTAAAGATCACAAATTCATGAATAAGCGCTAATATAAAAATAAGAAGATGTGGTATGATTGCCAATGAGACAACTCTCCACTAGAGACCAAAGGACATAGAAGTTAACAACAATAGTTCACCTTCAAAAATGAGCAAAATTCATACCACATAGTGAGCGCCAAAAGGCACCAACATTTCAAATGTAAAACAATTCAAACGCGAAAACTAACGGCCTGGTTTATGTACAAAACAATAAACGAAAAGCAAATATGATATACAGCAAAAAACGACAACCACTGAATTACAGGCTCCTGACTTTGGAAAGGCACATACAGAATGTACCGGTGTTAAACATCTTTGCTGGCGCCAAACACTCCCCCTTAACCCCTATATCCTGGATTTTACCATACAAGGCCGAACCATTAGTTATTTTCTTTGCAAGATATTGTATTTTTGGTCACATGTATCTCAATGATATCTCTTTTCTTCAAATTACCTAAAACTGAATAGGTAATTTGTCGAATTTTGTTTCCAAATTTCAGTCATTTTACAAAATGACTAGATAATTTATGGTTGTTTTATATAATGCCTGTCATGGTTAGGCATTATATGAATTGTCTGAAAATTCAGTAATTTTACAAAATGCCTAAAAGAAATGCCTGTCATAATTAAAGATCAAACCCTTAAATCAGCGTGTGTCGTGCTTGACCCAAAAACACAACCGTTTCATTTGGCGTGACCATGGTATCATTTGAGCTAAAACTTTTGGAGTTAAGTTTACATTTGGGCTAATTAAAATTTTCTACCTGTACATGTAAATTACAGATAAAAAAATATTTCCATATAAAATATGATTAAGATCACTTAGAAATATTTTTTCTTAAAATTCAACCTTCATTAAAATCCTTTCATTTGAAAACCATGATAGTTTCGGAAAGAAAAGAACTTGAAGTTTTACCCCAATTAATGGAAATGAGTTTACAGTTGAGATCAAGTATTATCACTATTTTACGAAATTTTCCTTTGATCTTGCTGACTGGTAATTTCCTTTCTCAGTGGAATCGAGTGATATGAAAATTATCGCTAGAAACTAAGGGGGCACGTGGCGTTGCTAATGAAATTGACATGAAATTGACAACGTCGTCATAGGTAAAATAGCGATAAAAAGATTATCATTGGTCATGTCAACTCGATTGCTTTTCTCACTTTCGCCGTACCGGCTCATGCGAGAAATTCAATCTCGTTGAGATGATCAACGATAATCTATAAGTATCACAATATTTCAGTTTTTAAAGAGCGTTAGTTTTAAATTTAGGGCCATATCGAATCTTTGAGAACAATTAATTGGAGTTTTTTTTTAAATCTTAAACTGTTTTATTCTTATTTTCAAAAAGTTACTCAGTGCAATTAAGACTTGTCTTACTCAAAATTTCTTTTCAATCTCACCGTGGTGAGCAGGGAGCAGACACGGTTTGGCAAACGGAGGTGTACTTGAAACAAGAATGTCATTTATTATATATATTTTATTTATTACATATCAAATATTAACATACGATGAAAATATAGATATGATTCCTTTGATTTACGGGTACATTGGAGGATTATTTAGCACAAATGTCGACTTGTCATTGGCCCAAACGAAACACATTTTTACCTCAAACGTCACCATTATTAGCCCAAACGTGCACCTCCCTAAAACCAGCGCCCACGTTAGTCAGTTGATTTACATGAACCCGACTCTAATTTAATACTTTATGAAAGGATTGACTGTATGGATTGAATGGAAGAATATTTTTAGTAAGAAAGAGTAAAATAATAAGACAGTCATATTAAACCTTTTTTAATATGAAACGTTCTTAGTATTCTTAAACATAACAAAAATAGATTTAACTGATAAATAGGTAAATTGTGTAATTAAATATAATGAAATACAAAGATTATGCATTAGCTGAAAAAAATGAAATTGATGACTAATATCATTTATTTCTGTTCTGTGATTGAATAAATAAAATTGAGAATAGAAACGGAGAATGTGTCAAAGAGACAACAAATCGACCAAAGAGCAGAAAAAAGCTCAAGGCCACCAATCACTGAATGCGTCTTCAACACAGTAAGAAAATCCCGCACCCGGAGGCGGGATTTAGCTGGCCCCTAAACAAAAATGTATACTAGTTCAGAGAAAACGGACGTCACACTAAACTCCATCTAAATGAACCAAAATTACAAAAAAAAACATAGAAGACTAACAAAGGCCAGAGGTTCCTGACTTGGGACAGGCACAAAAAAACGGCTGGGTTAAACAAGTTTTGTGAGATCTCAACCCTCGCTCTATACCTCTAGCCAATGTAGAATAAACAAACACATAGCAATATGCACAGTAAAACTCAGTTTAAAAGAAGTCCAAGTCAGATGTTAGAATGGATAACAGAAGAAACTAAGCAAAATGACAATGGTCAACATAAATTAACAAAGGACTACTAGCCGTTACTGACATGCCAGCTCCAGACCTCAACTAAACTGATTGAAAGATTATGTCTTCATCATATGAAAATCAAGCACAATCCCTCCCGTTAGGGGTTTAGTATCATACCATCATAAAATTTACGAGAAGAACATAACCAGTATCATGCCAACAACTGGTTTTAGAGTGAATCAATATTAATTCCAAAAAATGCCATCTTTAATGAACTGACAACAGTATCGTAACTATATCCCTTCTGAATAAGTCTGTTTAAAGGTTTGGTTAGCTTTTTAGGTGAATGACGACATTTTTGCACTCTGTATAGAATATTACCTTAAAAGATGGGATGTACCTGAACGTATAAGAATGATGTCTGCACGTTGATTTATATTTACGAATGATGTCTTTGTACCGATGATACAATTTAGAAAAATGTTTTGACAAGTTTGGGATATCGAAACCCCTGATGTAATAATTTTTCAGTAATACAGCGATTTCTTTCCTTTAAAAATCAAATACGTTGTTACATATCGTACATTTTGGTATTAAGCTTCCCGTTAAAGATATGGGTATCAAGATCCAGGAAAGGGCAGTGTTTATTGTTAGTATTAGCTTTATTTTTATTAAAAGTCAGTTCAGCAGGATAAATCTCTTTAGTGTACATACTGAAGTTGTCATTATTGAGAGCCAATATATCATCCAAATATCT